CTCGCCTTTTCGATTTGTCTACCAACACGACATCCAGACGATGAACCGATATTTCTATCCCAGTTCGCGTTGGGAAGTAGCAGAATGTTGTCATTTGCTCAACACTCGTCTATAGCTTTCATTTAAACGTTTCTACCATTGCTTTCCCACTGATAAGCCTTTGTCACATGCACTTAATTCTGGAGTGGAATCTTTGTTCTGGTTATCTCCTGTTATCTGCAGGTTGGATTTGTATTTTCCGTAAGTACAAATATATGAAGTGCAAATAGAGTGTGAAAGCTAGTGAAGAAGACATGTTTGTAAGTAGGGTTAGTTCAGCGCTGGTTTTCGTTTTGAATGTTTGTTGTGGCATTGGTGTGAACTTCTCTTCTTATAGAGGAGGTGATTTGAGTACCGGTTCCGCTGCTCCTGTCGGCGAGAGGGTAGCTGCAACCGAAAAGAGCATACAGTCAACGAACGGCGTGACGACGGTCGAGGTGTCAACGACGATCAGCACGGTTGTGGCTGAGGATGGTAGCGTTGAAGGCCCTGAGGAATCGTCTATCGTTACGGTTGACAATTTCTGCTGTGAGGTTGAGCCTTCAGCCTCCGGTGTGAGCGATTCTGGCGATCAACAGGTGTCCCCTGCTGTCATCGCTCACACCGCCGCGTCCAGCAAAGGGGCCAAGGAGCTGCCATCACCGGTGTGTTCCGCGTTTCTGTCCGTTCCAACATCACCTGCCATCAGATTCGTCCCGTTGAACGACGCGACGGCGGCGAACTTCAACGCCAGCACATCGACGGCTGAGGATGACAACACACTGGTGATCAACATTCGCCGCAAACTGATCGCCGACCACTCGTCATCCGTTGACAGTAAACCCGTGAGTAACGGACGGAGCAGCAACGGCGCTGGCGAAGGAGGTGGAAATGGAAGCGGAGGCACGGACGGATCCCATGGACGCAGTTTCAGCACGTCTGCCATACGGAGCGGCGACTCACAGTCAGCGATGCGACTGGCCAAACGACTCTACATTTTAGACGGCTTCAAACGTTCAGACGTTTCTAAACAATTGGCGAAAGTGTACGTTTCTTTCTGTTTACTATTTATGTTAAGTCATTTTCAATTATGCTAATGTTCCTTTTCCCCCGAAGTATTAAGTCTACCTAAGTTCAATGTCTCAAGTTATAAAACAGTTTGAAAACGAAGCAAATTCTTATTTAAGTCTGAAAATTGTGGTGGAAAGTTTCTTCCATAAGTTTCGCATCCTCGCATCACTCACAAGTTTTTGCCCTTGGCGATGACTTTATGAAACGTAGAGGTTCTGCGGAATCATCTTCCTCTTCTACCTAGAAGGCAAATGGTATGATGTTTCATCACGCACGTTCTGTACATATAAACACAGGTGAAATCGGCTCATTAGCAGCAGTACTCCGGTGCTGCAAAAGGCCAAGTTATTGTTGCATCATTTTAAGTTTTTGTGATTTCATTCAGTCAGTAAATTTTCAAAATTTCAACCGAGAATCAGAGCTGATTTATAGTGATTGGTAAATACCGCGATGAAACAGCATCAACGGAGTTGGACCACGACTATTGACATATCGACTGACTTACTATCATATTTCATATCGCCTTTCATAGGATAGTAATCCGCAACTAGCGATAATAAGAACCGAAATAATGTCGTAACTTTGCGACATTGGATCAGTGAGTCAAAACGAACAAGAGTTGGTCGGTTTTCCACCCGTTTCTAGAGTAGTTTTGTTCTTGCAGTGAAGGCAAATTTTAGCTTATATTAGACGGTTCACGCCTGCTTTGGCGTTGTGGCAAATGAATGCCACTTCAGTGATCAAAATACGATTTTACCTACAACGACGTAGAGGACAGGTGAACTGTTGCACCTCATCTAGTAAATGCCTGTGTTGCTGCTAGAAAAGCTTCCGTTTCGTAGCAGCTTCTCACATCTGCCGGTATCTGTGCTCATCCTTAATGAAAGCAGACAGTCAGTGACTGACTGACTGACTGACTGACTGACTGACTGACTGACTGACTGACTGACTGACTGACTGACTGACTGGTTGTATATCAGTGATCATGGGATAAACTGTTAATTGGGTTAAATCGCATTAGTAACGTGAAATATATTCAATAAGTCAGCGACTCACCGCTCGTTTTTTTCTGTTGGTTATACTAAATTTTGCAGTGCTTCTTCATTTGGGCTTATTGCAAGTAGTTTTTGCTGCGAGTCTTAGTTTTTTTAGTTATTTACATAGCTGATTGTTCTTTCTGGCCCATCCTATCGTTTTCTGTTGATCTCGATTTAAACCGAGGACCGAGGTCATCTTATTTCATGACTGGTTGCCTGAGACGACCTGTACATTGCTCAAAAAGTTAGATGCCAGTTGATGCCTTTCCGATCAAAGTAAAGGTCCCGGATTTTACTATGCATTCACTGATTGATAAAATGGGTATTGCATATCCTAGGGGAATCTAGGAGATGATCCACGCTAGACATGCAATCACTTCGTGTCATGGCTACGACAGAAAACAGTCCAATTGTAGCTTCATGCATTAAATTAGTTACTCTTTCCTAGCGTGTTCTGTTTAATAGGTGCCCGCTAATCGGTTCAGTTTCCTCCACATTTTTTTCGTTGGTTACATCTTCGATGACTCCTTCCAGTTTCATATGCGATAGATGTCTTTCGTGCTGGTTTTTAATATAAGTTTTTACACGCTGTAGACTCTGCTTTGGCGGCGTCTTTCTTGGCCTCCCTCTTTGATACGGCACATTTTACTCTGTCTTCCAAGCTGCTTGATAGTTGCTATTTCTTGAACGGCAGTTGCTTCTGTCATAGAGTCTCCTGAACTACTGCATTTCACCACCACGTTTCTTTCTGCATCTGTTGTGCCATTTGTTTCTCGTGTTCCTGATGTCTGGCATTCTCTGTGATTATGCTGACCATCCATTGCTCCTCGTCTTCTCTCCTGTTCAAGTCTTCTTTCCTCATTTTTCAGCTTCCCTTCTAGCTTTAGCCATTTAACTTACGGGGCTGTTGTCATACCCACCTTCTTAATGGACTATTCAAGATAGAGGTCGAGGACGGGTAATTGGTGCTGGCTTGTGATAGGTTCTCAGGAATAAACTTGTAATCTCTGACATTCTTCAGTTCGTTTCTACGAAAAAGAAAGTAATCGATCTGACTTTTCATCGACCCGCTGCTGTAAGTTATCAGGTGGTTTTCTCTTTTCTGGAAGAATGTTTTTATCAGAGTCAGATCATATGCAACTGTCACCTGCAAGATGTTTTATCCTTCTTTATTCAACGTACCATGTTTATATCCGTCATGGATCCTGTCGTAACTCCGTCGATGTTTCCCAACATGCCTGTTCAGGTCACCCCAATTACCACTTTTTTCTTTTGCGGTATGTTTTGTAGTGCAATGTCTAGGCTCTCAAAATATCGACTTGACGATTTCTTTGTGGCCAGTCTGAATGATATGCGCACTTATTGTATTCAAAATAAGTCAGCTTAACGCTTATGATTCTGTCGTTGATTCTGCTGATTTCGAATACCTTATTTTTGGTCGCGTCGTTTAATACCACTCCAACTACATTTCTTCTGGTTGATGTTCAACAACAAATAAGTTTATAGCCTAGCCCAATTTTTTTCGACTTTCCACCTTTCCATTTCGTTTCCCATCTACCAGCGATTTGACCCTTTTTTCTCTGAAAAATTTCCATTAGCTCCATGCAATTTCCCACCATTGTTTCAATGTTCCAAGGGGCCGCTCACATTTTCTCGTTTCGTTTTCGACATGTCAGTGTGTCTTTTTGCAATTGCCGTCGTTGCAAGAATTGGTTCCCTTGCTCATTTCTCACACCGCCGGGATATGCTGCTGCGCGTAGCCTGTGGGGAACGCCCTACAATTCTTTGTAGAGGTAAGTTGACTCTTCATATTTGGCGTTGGTATTGGTTTTTAAGGTCCACTGCCTGCCTGATGCCAGCCTGTCTTTCTCAACCAAGGCTGTAAGCGCATACGGCTCGTTGGAGTTAGCAGCATGCTTATTTGATGATGACATGTACTCGCCATGTTACCGCGCTATCATCGGACCTTTTGTGTTTTTTAGAGCCAACTTTGCCAAAAATTGGCTCGTTGTCCCCTTATAGCATTGTCGTTTTGTTGTTAGCCATTGCTTATCTAGTTCTTCGCTTATTTTGTAGCTAACTCTCATGTCTGAGGGTTATCCCACTATGTATAACATGTGGATGCGTTCGATGGCATCTGATCTTGCATTGACATTACTGTCAGATCAGACATCATACTATTTACTGTGTGCTAATAATGAAAGTTTCTCTGTCGTACTCAGTGCCATAAAATGTGAGAATTCGACTGGTTGGCAACATGATTGGTAGACTGGTCAAAACTTTGTGAAACTATATCGTATGTTATTCCATAGAAACTTACTCTTAAGATTAAATTGATCTTTCCGCCCCGCCAAGCTATTTCGACTGTAAGTACTGTGTGCGCTGAAATAATTCGTCTCAGAAGATTTTCTTGTACTGTCCTCATCTAAGACTAAGGACGCTTGATAAGCGGTTTACTAAGATCGGTGACGTCTGACTCATCTCGGCGATGTCTGTTTCTGGTAATATATTAATTGTTGCTCAGCGTTGCGGTCAAAGACTGTGAGCTAGCTTGTCTTGTCAAGAGGAGTTTGCATATTTTCTATTGTTTTTTCATGTCATTAGATAGTAGACAAATTTTAAAGACTAGTTTTAGTTTATAGTTTGGCAATTTTGCTTCTGAGCAAATGTATCTAACTAATTCGTGGCAAGATTCTGTGCAATCTGCGATGTTTCACATGTGGTAGTCAAAATTAGCAATACATAACCCAGTAGGTTTATGAAATACCAATCGCATGAGGATGCTAATATGACAAAGTGACGGTGTTCGTTTCAGGGACGACTTTTCGAAAATGGTCAATTACGAGTTCATGAAGCAGTTCAATTTCGTTGGCTTACGCGTAGACGCCGCCCTGCGGCGATTCCTCAGTCACCTGTGGTTGAGAGGCGAGACAGACGAACGTGAAAGAATCATCGCTAACTTTTCTCGCCATTACCGGGAGATGAACCCAAGTCTTTTCGCTTCGGATGGTAAGTCCTGCTGACCATGTTGTGAAAATTTATAACCGAATACACCGGTACATGGTCTTCGAACTTCCTTGAATAGAAAATTAAGTTTTTTGGTGATTGTAGTCGTTGTTGAAGGGTTCGAAATATCTTACCAGCTACAAAATTAAAATGAACAGCTGTAATTTAACTTTCACGTTAGCTATATTGCTGGCTACCGTACTTAAAATGGTAGGGTAATTTTTTATTGACTCAACGTAATAAATTTGGTTTATGAATTAATTGCCTGCAAGTGGTGTTTCAGTCTATGCCTCAGAGCTGTGCTAGCGTATGCTTTTTGTATCCTGAAGTAGTCCTAGACACTTAGAGATGATTTTAATCGAAACGTCAGGACAACACATACGGTCGGACTTTCACATGCATCATCGTTAAACAGGTTATTTTCATCAACGAGGCTTGACAGTAGCGATTTGATAAGCGTCGCTGATCTTTGCAAAGAAAACGCCCTGTCCGCAAACTCTCCCACAAACGATTAGCCTTTACTTAGAGCTGTACCAGATGCAGACAAAGGATCTGTGGCGTCAAAGCTATGTGAAATCTTGGTCGAGAAGTGAATGTAATAATCAACGTGATGAGTCGAATCAGTTAGTTCGTTATAGTCTTTCTTAGGCTGCCCTTATTTCCGGCGGAATTGACCTGCAAAGGCGCCGATTTGGCTTGGCTTGCAACTGGAGGACCGTCCTCAGAAACCGAATTATTTGGAGTGATCATACGCAACCAAGTCATGCTTGCGAATAATTGTTGGAAGAATACCATGAAGGAAAAATCTCGAATAAATGCAGGGTGTGCTACAGTTAAACGGCATGACCTAGGTATTGGTAGCTGCGGGTGTTATTGGCTATATTGGCTTCTTTGCCAAGTATTAAATATTAACATACTGAACAATAGAATTCGATTATCATTTGAGGATTTGCAGTACGTCAGTCTTGAAAACGCAGTACTCTTCCATCAGTGACACCACTGCTGTCAATACTAATGCTCGTTTTACTGTCGGAGATCCTGTAGAATGGCGGCATAACCTGTATATTGATGAAACTAAAAGCAGTTAACAATTTCAATCTACCTGTCCTTATATGTTTAATTAGGTTAGAGCTTTACCATTGTTCGGTAATTGATGTTGTTGGCTCTTTGATTTCGGCACTTTCATTGTCTACCCCTTGTCTTTTTGATTCTTTGACCAAGTCTCGTTGATCGGAGGCATTAATAAACTTTATGTGAAAAATGCCTGTGAGGTTCAGGTCAAAACTTTTTTTTCCTGCCACTAAATTTCCTTCATTATTTTGCTGTATTTGGATTAATGTACGACCCTTAGTACATTTTAGGAGATATCGTATGGCCGATTTATAAAACTTCGATTAAGTATACTTTGATTTGTCATTAGTACGATTATTATCAAAAGGTTAGATCCCTTCACTTGTCGATTCGCTCGCTTGCTAGCTTGTCTAATTTTTTGCTTTTGACCCTCTTCTGTAACCATCTTCAGCTAGCCGATGATGCAATAACTGATGTGCTGTACTTTTGACATTTAGATGAAGTCCACACGTTGGCCTGCGCACTCTTACTGCTTAATACCGATCTTCATGGCCAGGTTAGCCCCTGTTTTCGGTACTAATACGTAATAGCTGTACGCTGCTTCAGAACGTAGCGAAAAAGATGTCGTGCCACGATTTCATCGAAAATACGTCTCAGACAGGCATCCACTTTTCCAGAGACCTGTTGAAAACGCTGTACCAGGCAATACTCCATTTGCCAATCGAATTTGTCGAGTAGGTCTAATAACTCATAAATGCTTAATTTGGATAAATCTATATAAATATATTTTTGCTTGTTCCGTGGGAAGCAAATCCTTGCGAAATTTTTAGCACTTATGCATGTGGAGAATTCCCTGACCACGCAGTCGCTTTCTGAGATCACCTACTATCTCACTGCTTTGTCATTACGTAAGCGATGTTAGATTTACTTTATTGACGAAGCTCGCTCTCTGCTGGAATGTCTTTCGAACCACCCAATGCTATGTAATATTACATATGCGGATCGAGCTGGTATACAGTCGCTCAAGTTTATGCAACTTCTGTTTTAGTCCAGTTTTTCATAACAGAATTAAGACAGTTTGATATGTCATCTATTGCATAGTTCAGAAGCGGTTTCAATCTGCTGAGATATTTACTAACTTAATGTGTGCAGACGGCGCGGTTCTGTTTCCTTTTTCCTGAGTTAGTTTAATCATTGCGCTTTGAGTAGTGGGCTGTTTTATTATTGGGCAGAAATCAATGTGAAAAACCTGTTTCCCGATGGTGACCGGTCAGCGATTAACGGAAGTCAGTGACTCCTTCTGACCATTATGTTCAGTCACTTGTTTGTTCGATCACCAGAATTTGCACGTTTTTTGTTCATCTGGTAGGAGTACCAGTAAGCTGTTTTACACTTCTGTATCTGCACACGTTCATGACAGGGAACTGGATTGAACGGCTTATGAACTCTTCCTCTAGAGAAAACTGCGGCCTCGATAAATATCGACTTTGTCTTAAAATCACTGTGTACATGTTGCTCTATCCCCCTGTTATATTCGATTCTCTGTAGTTTCTGACTCTTCTTCGTCCATGCCAAAATACAGTGGTTTTTTTTTCATTTCAGAGATGTTAGCGATAGCGAACTTTCGACTTCCAGAAAATCAAGCCAAACCATCTGCCTGGATGATCGATTTCTCGAGGTGAGTAGCTCATTTCGGTTGCTAACTTTTGCGGATTGACCATGTCAGACGTAAGCAGTGTATTTACCGTTAAACGTTTTATGATGAAGTTGAAAGAATCACTGTTCTGGAATTTAATTAAATTCCGGATACTTTAACGGAGGTTGTCTATGAATCCGTTAAGATGCATTTATTAGGAAACAATCTAATGGCTTTTATGGTATTGTAATTGTTTCAATTTTTATTTAAATTCTTCTTATTTTGGTAACCTCAGCCAAATGAGTGAATTTCTGTTACGTCATTAAATAGGCATAATGAATTCTTTTCATATGTAGAGATTCTTTGCTGTCTACCCTATAAATCCATGGGAGCTAATCACACGCTGGATGCGTGGACACATCCAGATGCCGATGTGTTGATTGTATAAAGTGA